CTGCAGATGAACTTATAACCGACAATTTAACATGTTATTTGTAATGTTTTTTTTATGCTATCGTTCGCAACAATCCGGTAATATATGAATTTCACAACATAGCTCTAATTGTGGCGTGGGTCATACGAGAGCCAATAAAAATTGCTATGCGTGCCGATTACTTATGCTGACTCTGCTTACATTGTATTAGCCTTAAAAGAAATAAAAATGTGTCTATTTATATTACAGCAAATCTTTGAACAATAAACAAAAGAATTAGAAAATAAGCACGTTCGTGTAGAATTTTGTGTTAAGGCTGTAGTGGTACTAATGATATTAGGTTGCGATCGCGTGAATGAAAATTCGTGCCTTTGATTTAATAAAACCACGTGTGGTGATGTCGATACCAGAAGTATCAATTAATATAAGGGACAAACCATGGTTTTTCAGGAGAGCCAAAAAATTTTTAATCTGTCTATAACTTTTACTGCCTGCTCCAATTTTTGATTGTGTCTAGAGCAAAGTTTCTTAGAATTTCCTCTTCTTTCATGCTATACACGAAAGATTTAGAAATCCCCAGTGGTTTAAAATATAGCATGTCCCTTACATTAAAACACATTAAAAAAAGTTGTTTAGTTGTGCCTTAGGTTACTAATATTTTATGTGACACGATAAATCGTCGAGCATATTGTAAGCAGAAAGAGAAATAGAATATTATACGTAGTTAATGTAAAGGTGTCCTTTTTTTTAATGTAAGGGACATGCTATATTTTAAATCACTGGTTATTCCTAAATTTTAATAATACCAATCGATAGAGCGGGAACTTCCGAATCCAATGATGTATGTAACTCATTTTCGGCAAAATGTCCCTTACGTTAATTGGTACTTCTGGTATCGATATGTCAAAAGAGCTTTTTTCACATCGATACTGCAGAAATGAAAGGTAGTAAAGGACAGTTTGTTAAAACATGAGCTTTAGGCTTGACAGGACAGTTTGTTAAAACATGAGCTTTAAGAGTTTACACTACCTCAGTTCTAATTCAAATTTTTCCCGTACTAATACGGTTGATTTTGCTTAGGTCGAGCGGCAAGCACACTGGCTTTATTACAGAAATTATTTTTTTTACTAACGATATTAAAGCCATTTCAAAAATGTATATCGTATGGTATAAGTGTTCTATTAAGTTCGGTTGATATAAAAAAAATCATTGGTACTTTGTAAAGTACCCATTGAATAGAGAGGTTTTCTAGTAAAATTTCGAGGTAAGTTTGTGTTTTTTTCTATCGTGAACTATTTTAGTAATCAGTGTATATGTATAACTGTGTAGTTTCACTGTTATGCGGAACAATCCAAATCCATTTGAGGTTGTATATTTATACTCTTAATTGGTGTGGTTGGGTGGAATTTCCAAGCTCTTTCGATCTATTTCGTCAAAAAATTAGTTTTCTCCAGTTTTAGCCAAAAAATTAATTTTCGAACTTGTAAAAAAAAAATTCAATAAAACCATTGTCCTTCCGCTCGACCCAAGCAAAATGAACCGTATTTATAGTACAGGAAAAAAGCGTCACATGATTTACAAATTTAAAAAGCAATTGGAAATAGGATTGAAATTTTAAGCTCATTACTTCTCACTTGTGAAATTCCGAATTCGTGTGTACCGCTGTAAAGACTACCAATTACCCAATTGTTACAAATTGTAAAGAATAAAACAAAAGTAAATTACAATGACAGTATGGAAATAAGTTGGCAACTATAACGTAATTTTCTCATACAGTTGTTATTGTTTTAAGAATGGAATATTTTTTTAAACAGGCCTAATGTGTTCTCAGACGCCCAGAGGTGGTGCGATGAAATTTGTACGAAACTATATTTCTACTATACTAAGTTTACTATATTTTTTTGTTATGCCAAAACAACCAGGTAGCATAATGATATTTGATTAAAGGAATTGTTTATTAATTAACACTTTCAACATTTCCTTATTACCTATTGTTTGCAGTCATTGAGATATCTCTAGTTAGATGAAGATAACAGATGAATGACGCTTACCTACTGACTATCTTTGTGAAGGAATGTCTCAAAAAATATGCAAGTCACCGGTATGCAATAGTACGAAACGTATAAGTCCAAGAGCAAACAAATACGTAAGATCATGTATATTAGCAGTGATTAAATTTTCTCGGTTTTTATAGAAACATTTTAACTATTCATCGTCACTTAAATACCAAGTAGCAGTAGAGCTCCTTCTGAATAAGCGTCTAAGGATTACTGCTACCTTACCTATTTCTGTCGCCAAACGGTAATGTGAGCTTTACTGCATTCCGGCGTGACACTGCAACTGTTATGGACAGGCATATCGCCTACCAGGCGCATGCATTGTTCGTCCGATCACTTGGTATCCTAAAAAAAAAACCATTTTTACTATTGACCTACCAACAAACGTTGTATTTACCTACGTAATATCAGTTCCTCAACGTTCAATTTTTTTTTTGTAATAACAAGTGACGGGACGAACAAGTCGTGCGCCTGATGGTAAGCTGCACGCATAACAGTTGCAAAGACCAGAGGGGCACTGCCACTGCGCCTGACACATAAGTTGACAAGTCCCATGTGCCTGTAATTTCACCAACAGCCTTACCCTTCTAAACCGGAACACAGTAATGGTCACATTACTGGTTGGCGGCAAAAATAGGTAAGGTGGTAGTACTTCCCTGCACTCTTTCACCGAACTCTTGCACATGGAGCTCTACTGCTGTTGTTACAAGGAGCTCAATTTTTAATAATATTTGTATGATATAGTACTAAACTAAAAGCCTGTTATGGTATAGCGTACAGTAGTATGATTATTTGAGGTCGACCACCTCGCGCTATCGCTACCTGCCTTTGCGTTTTAGATAACAACGCTTCCTATAAACTTGGGTACTTGGTTACTTTGTTTACTACGTTTGTTGCGTGACTTCATACTTGCATTAAATTACTGGTGTTCTGATCTCTCTTTCTCTACCGTTTCGACCGTTTGCGAAACCTAAGGGCTGGAAGATATCTTGTCCAACGTATTCGGTTACGGGGCAAGAGCATTTCAAGTTGATAGCCACGAAAACGCCGCCACTACTGATCGAAAAACCGTCAGGCGCTGCCACCGTCGATTTTGCGATTAGCGCATATCTCTCATTATCATTATCATCATCATATCAGCCGGAAGACGTCCACTGCTGAACATAGGCCCCAAATATTGTCAGACTAGCCGGTCGGACGCGACGTGCATCCATCGGATACACGCCGCCCTTACAAGGTCCATCCGTCCATCTAGTAGGGGGCCGTCTCACTGTTCGTGGTCTCCATTCAAGAACCTTTCTGCCTCAACGGCTATCAGTTCTACGAGCTGTGCTCTGCTCACTGCCACTTCGACTTGCTAATACTTGAACTATGCCGTTGACTTTCGTTCTTCTACGGATCTCCTTATTTCTGATGCGATCACGTAGAGATATGCCGAGCATTGCTAGCTTGTTGAGTGACTTTGAGTGGTATTCTCTAGTTTGGACTAAAGTCCAAGTCAAATATATAATATATATATATGCTTACCTATGAAATAAATAGTCTTTATTTCATAGGTAAGCAAATTACACTTGATATCGTCATACTGATTTAACTATACTGCTCATTTGTAAGGTAGATTCCCCTGAGAAGAATGAGCAAGAAACTCTATAGGTTGCTCTTTGTAAATATACATTTAAATACATTTATCATTGCAATACGTAATTTAAATATCTTAGATCGAAACTACCTGCAGGAGCTAAACGGGTCACTACCACGGATTTTTGTCATCCAAGTAGCAGAACCTGTACAATAACCTTTAGTATAACGTTTTGTTTCACTATAGCTTTAAACCTCGTAAATGGCAAATTTTGAATATCAATTGGAATCTTATTATAGAAGCGTATAACACAGTCGATACAATTTCAAATGGCTTTGGTTGATTCAGCATAACAATGAAAGTATTGAATCAATCATTTGGAAAGAATATAATCGTAACGTTGAGGATATACAATGATTACTATACGTTGTGAAAATACGATTCCTCAAAATTTTCACGATGAAAAAAACACGTACATCGAAATTTTACAAGAAAACTGCTCTATTCAATAGGTACTCTACATATAGCACTGTTAATACAATAGTGTATTAACTCAAAAAGTGTATTTTCTCAGAATCGACGAAAAACTAATTACTCGTTTCCTGTGAAATATGATTAAAATGTATGTATAGGTGATAAATTATTACAAACTAAATTTCCTACTTGCCAAATATATTTATAAATAAAAGCGAAAAAATAATTTTATATTTTTAAATAAGGACTATTTTGGCCAGAACTAGCTCACATAAAGCGTGTCTCATTTTGAGTTAAGTAGATATCTTTTAGTTGTTTCTTACAATATTCTAAATATTTTATTGACGTGTAGAATATCAAATTTTACGTTCAATAATGGTATAATCTTGAATTTCACATATTTTGAGTTATAACACTATTGTAATAACAGTGCGATATATCAATATTTTTTTTATATCTATTGAACTAAACAGAACTCGTATAGTATACGATATACATTTTTGAAATGGCTTTAATTTCGTTTGTAAAATAATACATTCTGAAATAAAGCACACACACAGGGACACAGGTCCCTGCCGCTCGACCTGATGGTACCGATTCAGTATGGGAAAAGTTTATATTCGAGCTGAAAGTACTTTAAATGAATTTGAGACTTTGTGAAGACGACTCTCAAGAACTGCCAGTTTATTTTTGTACCTCGTATTAATGTTATGTCTGTTAATGTATAAAAAGACACAATGCATAAAAATGACACATTATTTAATTAGCACTCTTGTTTAATGTTGACCATAGATAACAATTTTGTAAAGTTTGCGGACTGGCCGCGGCGCTACGTTATCCATTTTCTGTTTACATCAATGTAAACCGAAATGTTTGTCTATTTATTAAAAATTTATTTTTTCTTGTTTCAGATTGCGTGGAATAATTCTACGTTACTGATTTAAGGTGAGGTTATTTCCATATATTAATCTGTGACAATTGTAATAAAAAAATATCTATTTGAATGGTGGATGAAAACACAGCTGCGTCATAAGAGTCCCCGTATGACTTAAGGACGCTGCAGTCCCGAAAACACATTGTGTCTCTAGAACGCGTGACGTGTTAACCGCCTACTGATTAATAATAAAGGTAACTTATTACCAACTAAGCTCATGAAGCACATTGATTGCAACAATTTTAAGTAATGAATTTAGTAGCAATAGAGCTTCTTGTGAAAGAGTTCCTCCAGGGAAATACTGCTACCTTACCTATTTCTGTCGTCAAGTAGTAATGTGGTTTAGAAGGGTAAATGTGTTGGTGAAATTACTTATAATTGTAATAGGTAAATGAGACTTGTTTACTTATGTCTCAGGGTGACGGGTACTACAATTTTTATGTTTAGGCGTGTTACTTAACATATGGTTGCACGACTTGTTGGTGACGTAACTTGGTATTATCACGAATTTATGAACCGATTTTCATGAATCTTTCTTGTTGAATAGAAGGTACCTCTTAATTTATTCGTAATTCCACAAATTTATGCTAGCAGTTTTTTTTATAAAAAACTTATAATTTGTGATTGTTTTGGATTTTCAAATTTTTTTACTACAGTTGCGTCATGTAATTAGTTTCGTAACTCAGTATGCGGTTCAAAGGGCGATAAAGTTAAAAATATAACTACGAATTGATAGTTTCTCAGCTTGTCAAACTCTCATTACTAATATGTAAAATGCATATAACTATAGGTTACTTTCTATAAAGGTAATGGTGGTTGAGCTTTCGCCGTTACAAGATTTACGGTGACCGGAAAAGCAATCACTTTCATAGGTGAACGGACCTTTAAAATTTAACAACCAGCACTAGGAAGCGTAATTCTACTTGTAGAAAGGTGGAAAGGTTTAAATAAACGAGATGTAAAGTAGAACGGCCCTTTTCGTTCGTTTAAGGTACTCCTTATGTGATAATAAAGCTACTTGCCATCGAGCTGTAATACCTATTCATTTTCCAATTTAAGTGCGATTAATAATTATACACTCACCGGCACATTTAGCAGGAAACACACATGAGAACATAAAGTACTAATGTTGATCTTTAAATAAATAAGAATTAGATATAAAATATCAATTAAATTATTTTTTTTTAACATTTGCGTCTAAACATTAATGGAAAAAATCGAAATTAAGCAAAATGCATTATTCTTTTACATTTCGTCAAAAAGCAGAAGAAACTGAAAATTTAGAAATAATAACAGGTTCATTTGAATTAATCAAATCTTAATACATAAAAATATTTTTTCAACTTAAGTTTATGAAATTCATAAAATCGCAGAAAATTTTAGATTATAATAGTATATAAGCATTGATTAAAACAAACTTTAGTAAATAAAAAACTTTTTCAACTAAAGTTTATAAAAAAAATACTTACGATCAATCGAACGTAAAATCAATCTCGAACCATTCTACAAACATGTATTAGTAGTAGGAAATTGAAAAAAAATTATAATGGAAAAATATGACATGATTGCCTCACTTTTTCATTTTAGATCTCATTTAAATAAATAACTAATCTTAAACTTAAACTTCTTTATTTAAATAAGATCTAAAATGAAAGTGAGACAACCGACCTGATTTTTGGAAAAACATTGCATTATTTTGGGTATTTTACTACTGTTCCGCTAAATGTGCCGGTGAGTGTAGTTTTTCTTTTTCCTTATTAATCCTACACCTCTTTTTATTTTTCTCTATTCTACTTCAACAATAGTTATATATACTTATAGTTAAGTATACTGAAATATCTTACATCATTTTTTTTATGTTTATAACCAATACGTGCCTCGATAACAAGTTTTAGTGGCTATCTCCGGAAGTTAAGTCGCCAGTGCGTTAATGGCAGTTATGTAATAACGATTGTCGGTATGTACTTGTAGGTCGGGCTTGTAAATAAGATAATAGACACTGCATCTTTACGTAGCTTCTTTTATGTATATATTAAATGTGACTGTCAGCGCAAGAGTGGTGTAACCCAATGAAATGCAAATAGATGATAATGGGGGATTTAAAATTATACAAATTAGTTTTATACATAGTCTTTTTTATAATAACTTTTTTTTTCTCTCGTGAGTTTGGGTGTAATTTGTGGGTGTCCATGGCACCCGCTACACAGGGTTTCTCTAGTGCGGGGCTATGTTGAGTGTGTGCGTTATTGTTATTATCATCATTGTAATATCAGCCGGAAGACGTCTACTGCTGAACATAGGCCTCCCCCAAAGATTGCCAGACTGGCCGGTCAAACGCGACGTGCATCCATCGGTTACCTGCAGCCTTTAGTATCATTTAAAGTGATTATTGTAGAAAAAAAAAATTTGGTTACACCACTTTGACAATGACATTTTAAACTAGAAATATCTAAACAGGTCTAAAAATCAACAGGTTAATCCAGCAAGTTGTATTGTTTAAACTATCTTTAAATAAATTAATTTAGTCCCATCGCATCGATCTTTTTATGGGTCCACAGGTAATTTTATTTACCTGGAACTACAGGTAAATAAAATTACCTGTGATACTAGAAGTGGAAAATAACACCTTGATTGTTAAAAATGTAATCAAATAAGTGAAAACCCTGATTCTACGGAAGCACTACAACCAGTTAATGATATGACCTTGAGTTCGATTCTCGAATGGACCAATTGTAGATACAACCTTTTCTAAATTAGTCGACTTAAATAGTATTGCCTGAGCAATAGTTATATCCATTTCGGATGCGGCTTGTGCACTAAGTCCCATTCGAATCCAAGCAAATACGAATATCGCTTGTACACTAAGAAATAAAATGATCCCTGTGACATTTCGGACCGTCAAGCCGTACATAATGATTTTGTATAAATAAAAAATACTTCAAATTGTAATGATTAACAAAGATCGAACACTAAGAAAAGAAAAAAGTCCTTCGATCCGGCCGGATTCGAACCGACGCCTTCTAACAAACCGTGCCCGACGCTATGTCTATAATGCCAACTAAGCCACGGAACGAACCAGCGGGCCTCACGAATTTTTCTATGTGTTTGTTTGTCGGATCTTTGTACGACGACAACTTTTTAGCCGTAGCGCCATCTATGAGAAATCTATGAAAGTATTTTGTCACCCAGTTAGGCAACTTTACAGCTACTAGCCCTGGCTAGAGAGGTTGCTATTCACTGTAATTAAGTGTTTTTAGTTGGCATGGCATCTGATACGGTTTGCAAGATGACGTCTGTTGAAATCCGGCCGGATAGAAGTAATTTTTTCTAAATCATTGACTTACAAATATATGGACGACGGGTGTAATACAAAAACCACGAAAAAAATGTCCCAAGTCAACCTATTTAAACGTAGTGACACGTCAAGGAATATGAAAAAGCTAAAACATTGAATTTAAATTGTAATGTCATCGCAGTACTGTCTAATTTTGCTTGCTTCGCTGTCAGTCGAACAAACGAAGACTAGATCGTGAATGCGCTCTGTATACGATTTTAACGCCCTATAAGTTCGGACACTTTTTAGCGCGGACCCGACGTCCATATAATTGTAAGTCAATGTTCTAAGTGTTCTATTTTCGTTTTAATAATTATAACAAACTACTGGAGTAATTTCACAAAAAACAATTGAATATCATATTGGTGAAACATCTTGACTATCAATAAAAACACTTAATTACCTAAAATTATTTTAATAAAATCGTAGAAGTCACTGGGAACGCGCAGGCAATGGCGGTCTGTCGTTAAATGAAGCGACGGGGATTTAAGGTCCACAGATACGTCAGTCGGGTTGTGGATACAAACAATGGCCATCCTAAACTCAAAACCAAACACACAAGTTACACGTTTAAGGCGTGACCACATTGGAACAATAGGCTATTACTAACGTATTCGAGAACGGATGGTTTCTTTACCACTTACAGTTCTACTATGACCCAAAATTTACATACTCTTTTTTTAAGAAAATAGGGGACTTCGTGACTTTGACCTATAATGACCCGTGATCTCTGTACATATTGCATGATACTTGAGAGACTAGAAATAGTCTTTCCAGTAGTAGGAATATGTTAATATATTTTTTGTATCTTTGATGGGTATCTGAATTAAGTTTTTGCCTTGCCGTTTAAACGTTTTTGTTATAGGGGTTAATATACTTACTATAATTTGTGTTTTAGGTTGTAGAGTCATTATTTTGGTATGCTAGTCTCAAGTATGATAAATTCGAATTCTTGGTTCTATACAAATGTACTACAGCAATATTTTGTATTAAAAAATCTTTTAAATAAATAGATATAACATTTTTACTAGCAGTAGAGCTCCTTGTAAAAGGGAAATACTGCCACGTTATCTATTTCTGCCGCCAGGTAGTAATGTCAGCATTACTGTGTCCCGGTTTTTAAAGATAAGGGTGCTGATGAAATTACAGGCACATGGGACTTGTCAAATTATGTCTCAGGGTGACGGGCGCAGTGGCAGTGTGCCTCAGATCTTTTCGGTTTAAAGAGCTGAGTGGCATTACAACTGTTATGGACAGGCGTGTAGCTTACCATCATGCGCACGACTTGGTCGTCCCGTCTCTTGATATTACAAAAAATGAAAAAATGTATGACAATCGCAACAATCAAATAGGGTAATATAATCTCAAAGTAAGTAACTAATGCACTTGTGCTATGGAAGTCGTAAAAAACGACGGTACCAGAAACACCCAGACCCGAGACAATATAGAAAAGTTTTTTTTAATGATTTGACATTGACCCCGAGGGGATCGAATCTCGAACCCGAACCTCAGAGGCGACACCATGAAACTGGTATGCAAACCGCTAAACACGTCATCATAACTGCATTGTGATTTATTCACTAAAGTGCCAATCTGATGATTCAGTCGAGTTCAATAGCGAAGGTGGAACTTTGAAATTTGCTGGGAAATATTACCAAAGTAAGTGAATTGGAATTA